GGGGGGAGTAGAAATACTCCTAGTCGCTTCATGCTACAGAAACCGGGATAAGCTCCGGCCTGATGGGCCACTTGGCTCGTATGCAGACTTTACCACGCTCGTGTCATGTTGATTAATTCACCTTCACATTTCATTACCGAGCTTAAAATTCACCATCTTTGTTAACTTATCACCAGTATATTCTTATGGAATAAAGCCTATAAAATGCAATTACAGGTCACAAGATAACTGCGCTTTAGATACATATATATATATGAAAAAACGTTTGAATGAGGACTTGTCATGTTCAAAATGACTTGTACGTAAAGGAGGAAGACAGAGGACCCTTGGAACGAGTTTGAGCCTTGGAGCTTTTTTTTTTCCAAGCGAAAATCGTCGACAGAAAACATGTTTCTTCAGCAGGTGCTGCGCCCAGACTGCAAAGCAACCATGTTCTTTTTTTGCGAGCGCAAAACACTTTTTATTTTATTTGGTGAAAGTTTTCTTTGGTAGGCTTGACAGTGACATACAACAGAGCCTAACGTGGCGTGATTCTTTGTGGCCTTTTTTGATTTGTCACGCAATCCTCCAGCCCGTGATTTAATAGCAGCTCTTTCTAGAAATATTACGTAAAATCGCCTAAATATAGTTCAGGAAATTCTCAAAAACATTTTCTCAATATCTTTGAAAAACTCTCTAAATATCAGTCTTATTTTTGTTTTAAAAATAGACCGATTTTGAATCACTTAAGGTAAAATTTTCAATATTTTTTGCCGTAGTAGGAATTGAGGCGGAAGATTCAGGCACTTCGATGATACCGTTATATGCATTTCATTTTACTTTTCAAGTTTGGCTGATTAAATCTCCTGTGAGATCCAACGTTCAAACAAACAGGATCTTCGTTCATACCCTGGGTGCCAGAGGGTTTTTTTTTTCTTCGCTACTCACAAAAAAAAACCACTCTCTGTCGCCGAGGGTACTTTGCAATATATTTACATTTTTCAAGTGAGAAATCACTGAACTGGATTGTTTCTGGCACAGAACTGATCATGGGGAGAAAAACACAGAGCTAAGCAAAAAAATCTCTCAGTATTTTTAAATATCCCTAACTTTTCTATATATCTTAAAAGATACTAAATATCTCGGAAAGTGCTAAACATCCCCCAAAATATCGGGATATTGACATTAATGAATAACAGACGTTGTTCTAATGGGAGGCGATGCGTGACGGGTCAACGTGGTTCGTCACCAGGGATCGCTCTTGTGAAATCAGAAACCAGAAAATAAACAAAGCCGGCTCTCACACTGGGATGCGTAGTGCAGGGAAGATTCATTCAGTAGAACTATAAACGGTGAGTAGAATATTTCGGTTCTATCTAGCTTCCTGTGAAGATATTATTGCTCAACACAATTTCGCTTTAGATCAAAAGCACGAAAGCACGGCAAGGCTAAAGCCTCGACCTATGTATTACACATTGATAGGCACTCGAGCGAGTGACTATATTCGATTATCTTGTTATGGCTGCAAGCTAAGACTTCATATAGCTCATAGAAAATTCAGCGATGTACTTGGTTCGAAATCCACACTTTTTTTACAGACTAATGAAATGATTTGAACCTAAAAGATTGCTTCATCTGACCAAAAAAAATTCTTACTTGTAATAGATACGTGATTGTGTATTTGCATATCCGGAGTCGGCAAGGGAGAAGGAGAGGTAAATGCTATTAAAATTCAAGGTGGTCACTCTTGTATAAACAATCAAACCCATTATAACTGACCACCTGTATGAAAAGAACGCGGCAATTGAAATACTAATATTGGTCTCACCTATGTTAAGTACGAATTTAAGACTTAGGGTGGCTAGAATACCGTGCATTCTCGAGTATTACTTCATATTCCAACCAAATGCACGTTGAAACTTTTACTGATTTCGCAAATTATGGGCGCTCGTTGATTCATCATACATGTAGTTCATCTGTGAGTCACGCAAGGTTAACGAAAGTCACGTCGGTCACGAGAATAGATTGTCAATTAGCATTTATTAATCGTCTCCAGCGAAGGGTGACGCAGTTGGAGTGGTCTTTGTCTCAAGTGGATGGATCATCCTGCTGATGAGAGAAACGCAGCATACAGAGCACGTATCCCGGCTTTTCGGAAAACGAAAATTGGTCGAAAATTCGGGTAGCTCGAGAATTCGATCGGGGTAAAATTACAGTGTTCGACTGAGGGACGTTGCGCGGGGGGTGGGGGGTGGGGGGATATAACTTTTCGCGAGGTTCGAAAAATAATCGAGGGTTCCACTCTATATTGCTCTATTAGATAAGAGAGACAAGTCACACAATTTCGCACCTGAATAAGCCTGGTTTTCGCTGAAAATGCCTTCTTTCCTTAGGTTCGTTCATTTGGGACCTGTTAGCAATTTTTAGAGTGTTCTCAAACTGTTTTTGACTTAATATCCAGTATACCGCATAAAAAGGGTGTGGTTTCCGGTACAAACACCCAGCCGATCGGCCACGCCTTTCAGTAAGGAAATGACATAAGCGTGAGACAAGGGCTTTGTTTTTCTCAGTTGTCTTCTTCTTCTGTCAGCAATCTTCAAGATACTATCGCTGATTGGTCCGCGGATCACTGTTGTTATTTTGTTTCGCTCAGCCATTCTTGCCTCTAGGCCCAGAGTCACCTGTTCCTCTTTAGTCGGCGGAGCTTATAGGGACGACGGGAAGGGTGGACCTGGACTGAGATACACGACTTGATTGACTAGATTCTTGACAACTACGTTTTTCGCTTTCCTCCCCAAAAATATCCGACATGCTGCTCATTGGTCTCTACCTAAACAGGTCGATACAGAGCACCTGCAAACCTACATGAAGTTCAAAAATGGCTGACGAGAAAACTCGTCAGTGAAGTTACTTCCGGCCAGAACTTTGCTTCTGTTTCAAATTCCCTTCGTAGAAATCTTAAGAGTGTGCCCATGAGAAAACCAGGCAGAACCAGGCAGGAGGTGATACAGCTCAAATCACCGATTTCGCTCAAACTTGGCACAAATGCTGGGTTTGGTAAGTGAATGATTGTGGCAAAACAGTAGGTCAAAATATTTTATTCCCTTCAAGTTAGTGGGACCCCCTGCAAAAATGCCCATTTGACACTAATTTATGCATATTTAATTAGCCACATTTGGTTTAGTATTTCTATAACAAGAAAAACCACGTGAAAATGAAATCCACTGAATCATGTTGTATAACTATCAGTCTAAAAGCATAGATATTCATTTCAACTGGGCAATTTGATTTCTGGAAAAATAGAAAAACGATCTCTGGTTAAAAATTTGTTTAAAACGAGCGTTCGACTACCGGTCTGTAGTCTTTAACGAGAGACTGGTGGTCGAAAGCTCGTTTTAAACAAATTTTTAACCAGAGATCGTTTTTTTATTTTTCCAAATGTCTTATCCTGGTTACTCATTTGATTTCTGTCCGTGGCTTCATCATAAGTAAGGTGCATATTTCGTAGTGTTGTAAATAGCCTTTCATTTTCACATGGCTTTTCTTGTTGTAGAAGTACTAAACTAAAGATGGCTAATTAAATATGCATAAACTAGTGTCAAAAGGTCATATTTGCAGGGGGTGCCCCTAACTTGAAGAGATTAAAATACTTTGACTTATTGTTTTGCCACAATCATTCACTCACCACACCCAACATTTGTGCCAAGTTTGAGCGAAATCGGTGATTTGAGCTGTGTCACCCCCTGCCTGGTTTTCTCATGGACACACTCCTAAGTTTGTGTACACTCTTTTCTTTTTCGAAGAATTTGTTTTATAAGAATATCGAGGCTGAATTTTTTCAAGAATAAACTTGAGGCTGAGATTTTGGAAAGATTATAATTTAGTGTTTTGAAAATTTGTTAAAACAGTACAATTATATGTTAAACCAAACTATATAAAATTCTTCCTGTCATGTCATGATTGGAGGTAAACAATAACATAACTGCCCCATACCTCATAAGCACCCTTGTTCTAATGCTGTTCCTCTCTTGAGCGCCGAACACGAAATTGAGGCAGCGTCCACACTACACAGGAGAAATTTGAAACGCAGCTTTATTTCTACGGCAAGGCCTGCCGTCCACACTAATCTGTCACGAAAACGGAGCTTTTCGGAAACGATGGCGTTACGATAATCACGTGATTTCCCTGACCGAGTTTTCCTCAAACGCTAATCCAAAGTTGTGGCGTTTTTAAATTCCTCCAGCGTGGTGTGGACGGGAAACATCTGATGCGTTTTCAGAGTGAAACCTCCGTCTTCAAATTTCCCCGGCGTAGTGTGACGGGGCCTGAGGCACAAATGGATCAAATGACACATGACCTCATTCCAGCTATCAGTAGCCTCAGATCCTGTAATGCAGGGGCGTCTTTTGTTTCTCCGTTACAATACATGCTTGCCCGGACCAACTGAAGTCTTTCTGGATCTCTTGTGTTTTCTAGAACATAACTGCACAGACCACTATGTCATATACTGTGGCTCGCACGCCGCTGGCCTGGATTCCAATGCGCGATGGAATCAAACTCGCGGCACGACTCTGGATGCCAGAATTGGATGACAACAGCACTGATAGGTCAGAAGAAGGTGAAAAGTTTCCTGCTATACTAGGTGAGAATTTGTTTTAATAGCATTTTCGGAGAAATAATATAAGTTCAGTATAAGACAGTCGATACTGAAAATATTGCCCAGTGGTTGTCATGGTTTCGCGCCCTAAATCCCATCATTCGGGTTTTCTCCGTCTTGAGCCATGTTAGGTGTTATGCCATTAACATTCATATTCGTCTTTATTTCTTTACAATAAATAGCTTCAGTGGATTTTCTTAAAGTAGAACACCTTCCTCTAACAGAACAGTTTGTGAAATTTCTAAACTAAAGACGAGGACAGCTTAAATCCTTGAAAAAGTTCCTGCCTTTTCACATCTGTCAAATATATAACAAAGTAGATGAATTTGAGCCTCAGTAATTACCGACTTACTTTCCAGAAATCCTTCCTTATCGGCGCGCAGACTACACAGCTCAGAGAGATGAAAAGACCCACTCGTATTTTTGCTCTCATGGCTATGTGTGTGTCCGGGTAGACATGCGGGGATCTGGGGACTCGGAGGGATTTTATTACGATGAATATGAAAAACAAGAGCAGGACGATTGTTGTGACATCATCGGCTGGATTTCTCAGCAAGACTGGTGCACTGGAAATGTTGGTAAGTCAGTGGGCAACGAGTGTGGAATGGGAAGGACGGGAACTGTCGGGAAGGTCGGGAAGGTCGGGAACAGTCGGGAAGGTTCGAGAACTGGAGGTGGCAGAGGAGAGGGAAGGAACTGTGTTTCCCAAGGTTTTGGAAGCCACAAGAAATAGCCAACCATTTTCAACATTGCACGGTGTTTTGCAATAACAAAAGTACAAAGAGGAAGGAGCCACTATTGAAGGAAGTGTTGTAAAGCTCAGTAATTTTCATAGAATTGAGTATTTTTGATTCGTAATCATCGATTGTTTATCATTTTGTAGCCAGCGCGTTAGTCTTGTGATTCTAGAACCCGACTGCCCACACAGAAAGTCTTATGACTTCAAGTTGCTTATCTTAGTTTATCGAGAATACTTAAGCTCCTAACAAAACCCCATCGATAGTCATGTTTGGGTTTGTTTACTAGCCTTGGTCTGGATCTCCCACAAAGATCCTGTTTAGGTTTCTTGCTCAAGAACTTTGTAGTTCACTTCTGAAAGTCGCGTGAAAATGCTTGGGTTAGTCTATTCTAAAAGCATTTTTAATCCTCCAAGGTCAGTTTGGACATGTCCGTGTGACCCACACATAGCTACCGATATGGTAATTACTGAAGAACGTGTCCTATGGTTAAGTTTGATTAGATAAAGATTTTGCTCGACAGAAGTTAGTCCAAGAAATACAAGACAAAGATCAGGGTTTTGGTACTGTACCTCCTCTCCTCCCTTCAAACAGAAGGGAGGAGAACCGGATGTAATCTCTGCGGGAAGACCCTTCGTCAACCTCCTCCCTCTTCAGCACTTAACATAAGTCTATTGAAGTGTTTTGCTTTCGATGTCTACAATATGCTGCATCATTCAGAATTTTATAGGATGACATGTTTAGCATTCTCAATAGTGGCAATTTAACTGGTTAGTTTGAAGGGTAATTAAGAATTCTATTTCTATTAATAACGTACAAGTTTGGTACTGGCATGCCAAAGATATGTCAAACAAAACGAGTTCTGAAATTAGAACCACTTAATTCCTGCGATTTGCATTCCAGGCATGTATGGGAAAAGCTGGGGAGGATTCAATGGCCTTCAGGTTGCTGCTAGACGACCCTCAGCATTGAAGACTATCATATCTGCTGATTCCACTGATGATCGGTATGCTGATGACATACATTACCGCGGTGGCTGTGTTCTTGCCAGAGAAATGCTGTCATGGGCTCACATCATGTTCCTTTGGAATGCGCGCCCTCCTTATCCAGAAAGCATGGGTCCCAGGTATTTGTTTAATTTGAACTTACTAAAACTCCTGTTCTAGACTATTCAAAATCCACATGGTCGGAAACGGTAAGTTAAATTTTGTTGTACTGCAATATAATTATTATTTGTAACAGCAACCTTTTCAAAATCCTTCACTATGCATCTGTCCCCTTCATGCCATAAGCTAATAGAACTTTCACAAGGAACTTCCACAAGGAACTTCCACCGTCTTTCGTCTTAACTTTTTCGTTCAGATTATAAAGCTACTGCCAACCGTCTGTACAATTTTAGTTCTCTTTCCTTTCTTTGACCAGGGTTCCTTATGACAATTGCATTCCTCGACCTTCTCATAATAGGCCATAACTCCGAATTACCTTGTGCCTTTGTTTCCAAACGAGTCCTCCTGCAAAACCTTTTATATGAAAATGAGTTTGATTTGCATGAAAATGAACCTCTAAGTGGAACATATCTTCATATCAATGGTTTCGCTCAAAGGCTCGTTTTGACACAGACAAAAGCCAACTCGGAAATTGCTCTTTCTACTGCAGTAAACAAAAATTGATGTCAGAAACATTTCCACGATTTTGTTAAGTCATGTTGAACGTACCTGATTGACTCATTTTGATCACATTTTTGGCTCAACTGAATATTTGACAGGTTAATTATGTGAAACGTACCTTACTTAATGACTTTTTAGATGGAAAGAAGTGTGGCTGGAGCGTTTGAACAAATCAAGTGAACCATGGGTACACAAATGGTTATCACATCAGGCACGTGATCCTTACTGGCAGCACGGTTCCATTTGTGAAGATTACACCTCCATCACGTGTCCAGTGTTTCTGATTGGTGGATTTTCTGATCTCTATACTGACGCAGTATTTCGCATGGTAGAACATCTCAAGTGTCCTGTCCGTGCGTTGGTTGGGCCATGGTCTCATAAATGGCCTGGGTTCTCTTCACCAGGGCCTAAGATAGACCACTTAAAAGAGTGCCTCAGGTGGTGGGACTGTCATTTAAAT